AGCGTGTAGTATTTCTTTCTGGTCATGCAAACAATCAACTGCTTCGTCAGATTAGTGACGTGCAGGGGTATCATAGCGTTCACGATGAATAAGCTTGCTGACAGCTAATGAACATTACATATTAGTGAGTGATACTGGCGAGAAAGCAAATGGCCATTTGGCAGCATTTAGATAATTGTCCAGTGCACGGGCTGCCCGTGCGAAAATGCGTTTTTTGCGTAGTTCCCCGCAGTTTTTTTCGCTACTTGCACCAGTTTTTCCGACAAATGCTTCTATTTAAACAAGTTAAGACTGACCGCCAGGACCGTCAGAAAACACCCCATTAAAATTTCAGCTTTCTAGCTTTCCTGGCTCCTGAGTTAGCAACTTACTGGAAAAAAATTTTCATGAGCACATACGTTGGTACCATGCGGGTAAGACCGCCCATTTTAGGGATGAGGGCCCGTACATGCATGTAGATCAAGTTCTCAAAGTTTCAGCTCCGTAGCTTTTGTAGGTTTCGAGATGAAAAATCGGTACAGAGCCCAGCGCACACACAGACACACACACACACAGACACACACAGACAATCTCTCGTCAATATGCGTTTCTCGCATTGCATAGCTGCAAAAAACGCATAAAAATTGGTTATGTGCAGCTATTGACTGACAATATCGGCATTAATCTGATTCAGATATGTGGTTATAATATTTCCAACAAAACGAAAGCGCCAACATAATCTAGCCCTATTGCTATTTAGCTCAATATGGATAATTTCCATAGCATTAGCTTTACCGCTACTGATCACTTCTGATCTGAATACGGTATTCGAAGATGAGGAATGCGGCATGTCATTGAAGATATGCCACGAAAAAAACGAAATTTGGAGCCGAGTTTGTTTCTTTTCTTAGCATTTCTTCAAATACTAAAAAACACTCTGTGTCTAGAGTTTAAGAGGAAAATGAGTTTTGTACAGTGAGAAAATGAATACGTGATTTTATACCTGCTAAAGTTTCATCTCGGAATTTCAGGTTTTGGTGATTTTGTATTAGAACAATAATGCTCCATGATTTTTCAAATTAATTCTGTGGTTCTTTTAAAGGATGCGCAGAAAATTTCGCCGTCGTACGCTAAATTCTGCTATCAGTGAATCTGATCAATTTTGATAATCCGTGAAATGCTGCTTTTCTAAGCGGCACATAAAACAGTCAACAAAACTAGCACAGTTTTCGAAATATGCCCTACTCATGCAGCTACAAGTGAAATGCGCCTGTATTTTCAGATGCCAATAAGTAAACGTTCATATACGTTAGCGGTTTTAATAACACAGTATGCGCTTCCTCTAATATCCATTGTTTTCGCGTATAGTACAATTGCCTTACGGATGCAGCTGAGGATAAATAGTCGATTGCCCTCTTCTACCTCCAATGCAAACGCTCTCAACGACGAGAGGCGAAAGTGAGTTCATTCGCATTATCTGCTGTCAGCCACAGTTTTTTTTTTGGAGAAAATTTCGGCAGCCCACAGTTGAGAAACGCAGGTAAAACTGTGAAACCCGATTTCTTCTCTCATATTTATTTCATTTTCTTTTTTGACTGTGTCTTAAACATATTGTATTTAAAATCCTTTGAGAATACGACCGTGGTACTGGCAAGGTCCAGTTATGGTGCTCTCAGGAATGTAAACTACTTCTGCAAATAGACTGAAGCATCTCTGTTTAGCTGTTTAATTTTATGCCATCCCATTTATTTTTAGCCAAATTATACCTTCAGAACTTATTATCATACGAATTCTTCTAATGTTCTTTTTATCTGAGTACTGCTGAAGTAAGTTTTATCATATACAAGTGCAAAATTCAGAAAAGAAAGGAGGAGGCGCGGGAAAGACTATTTCTTTTGTCGTAAAATAATGATTTGTTTAGATCGGCGGCAGGACGACAGCGCCGTACGCACTTACTGTTGATGTGCGTTGTGATTGTATTTGCGGCAGCCTGGCTTCCGCTAAACGTCTTTCACGTCCTCAACACATTTGGCATCGTGACCTTTTCCGTGCCCCTCTTTGCAATCTGTCATTTGATTGCAATGGGCTCCGCATGCCTCAATCCCGTCTCATACGCATTCTTCAATCACAACTTCCGTCAGCAATTCGTTATGTTCCACGACGCAGCAATAAGGTAATTGTGGATAGGTAAGACGCAACAGTGATCGAATGCGTTGTTACACAGAGCTCCCGAACCTGGACCCGCACCGTCAACTGAAATTTAAGCCTCATTCTCGCGGCGATTCCTCAGCCAAGACTCAGATCACTTGAGTAACTGCGCATCGCATTCTTCCAGCATCAATAATCCAAAACAGCCGAACTCTGGAAACAATCAGAATGGCTGAAAAATCAAGGTAGAAGAAGTGCGAGTTCCTAGGTTCAGGATTCACGCTGC